TGAAACAGTCTATTGAGGGTTTGATTAATACACTAATCACCCGCCGCTCTTCAAAAATAGTAATTCCTTAGTTATTCCTTCCTATCTGAATTAAGACTGCTTGGTTCACTCAATTTGTTGTCTGTGTGGCAAGTTTGCAGCATAGCGAAGTGGGGAGCTGCCCTCCACTCACCCAGGCTGAGGGTCTGGCCAACGTCTCATCTCCCTGCCCTGGGTGCCCTCCTGGGTCAGCACGACAGCGTCTTGTCTAACGTAGCCATTTTGCATGACAACACGGTGCAAGTTTGCCAATGTTTCGAGTGCTGTGCAGAGTGACTGTATAGGGAGACCCATGAGAGAAGAGTGACTCTGGGAACTACGGCAGTTGTTTTATACCAAATTCTTTAAAGCACATGAAGAGTACCTGCCTGAAATGTTACCTCCTTGTACAAGATAAGATTTTCTTTACGCAGAATTAAAAATTGAACAATGTTACAATAATACTTTCAGGCAACTTCATGTCTATAAAAGTATCGTGGTAAAAATTGGAGTCTAAATGAATACTGAAAGGCAAAGATTGATAAACAGGCTGTCATTCACTATTTTTAAATAATTTAACATCCAATGATAAGAATAATCAGGCAAAATAAATGGTTGGAAATCTGAAAATTCAGAGGTAGTGTCCAGTGGTTAACTATGTCATCTCCATTCCTAGTCACAGGTAGATCACGTCCGCAGTAACAGTTAATTCCAGCTGCACCATCCATCCTGCCCTCTGCCTGCCAGAGCGGTGCCGTAGCTCCTTTGCCAGTCTGCTCTGGGAACTGAATGCACCCCAGCCTGGGCAGGGGCTTTGTGGGAAATCTGGTTGCACCGCCTGCTGACGCTGGGCTCAGACTTACAGGATCTGGGAAATGAATCAGTTGACCCATTGGTGTTCTGGTCCCCAACACGGGTGAGACCGTACGGGGCAAGTTGCTTTGATTCTGCTGTTTTGCTTCGTGCCTGGGGCAGGGCCAGGGTTTGGGACCTG